CCTGTCTGCTAGCAAGACTGCATCATAATAAAAAGGAAGTAGGATTTCTTACATTAAGAAGGAATCCTTTCATTTTACAAGACAAACATTAGAAGAAAAGCCACTTTTCAAAGTGTCTACAAAATAACATGCTAAGATATTTACGTATATTTTCCTATTTCATCTTCATACACAATCCTAAAAAGTATGTACAAAAAAAAATCATCTTTTCACAGCTGAAAAATGACAGCTCAGAGAGGTTAAGAAACTTGTCCCTTTTTCCCAATTAGCTCATTAATTTATCCCATAACATTTATTGAGCTTCTGCTTTGTTCCAGATACTTTTTTTTAGACACTAGAGACAGCACAGCAAGACAAAACAACAACTGACCCTTAAGTACAATGTTTGTTCTTAATCTGAATTCAGATTTAACTGAGCATCCTGTTTTTCTCTGCCAACCTTACTTAAAAGCAAAAGTGCGCTGTGAGAGGAAAGGGAATTTTAACTTCACCAGAGAGGAATATAATAATATTAGGACCAGAAACGGAAGACCAGTCTATAATCTGAAGACCACAGGGAGTTCAGACTGAAGGTAGGTTGGAGCAGGTGAAGAGATGGCCACAGCAGGAAGAGGCTGATGAGTGCAGGTTGCTAGGATGGGAAAGGTTTGCGGGGAGGGGGGTTTTGCAAAATGAGGTCATGGAAGTGAGCAGGGGCCAGACTGTTCAGAGCCTTGCAGGTTAAGGTTTTCAGTCTTTACTCTAATAGACTGACCAGTCATACATGATGCTTCTTCTTCCTGCCCTCCCTTCTTTGATATCATCTACACAATGGTCTCCAGAGTCCTTCCCAATCCCCGGCCTTATTGATTTTTACCAAAGAATTTAGTCATCTTCAAATCTGTCTTCCCAGCTGGAATGTGACTTCCCTAAGGGTGTCAAGGAGATGATCAGTGTTAAAGAGAGCAACATAGTTTAGTAAGTTCATGGGTTCTGATGGCATAACAATGACATCCAGAGCTCGATAAACAGCATATTCTGCCTCCCTGCCTCCCCCCCCCCCCCCCCCCGCAAAAAAAAAAAAAATACCCACTCAATTAGAATGTCTTGGAAGAGCTCAGAAATCTCCATTTGAACAAGCTTCCCAGGAAGGGAGAATACACACAACTAGTTGAGAAGCACTGGTCTATTTGACTATTCTAAGATTCTAATTCATAGGATTTTCAAATAGTGACAAGAGAAGCACTTCTTCTGATCTGTCATAAATCTCACTGTGCTCTTGAACTGTAAGAGGGCCCAAGTGCTATGAGAAGACAAAAGCCCATCAATATAGTTCTTAGTGTCTGCTCTTAATCATTTGTATTACATAGTGTCCATGGGAAAAGACAGAGCAGGCATGGTGTGCAGTACAGAAAACAATTTAAATGTTGTCGTGTTAAACTGATTTAAATATCTGCTTTACAGTAGCTGGGATTATTATTTTTCAAATTTGACCTTTTAAAAATGTTTTAATTAATGCTCCCAATGGCATACTACAAAATCTAACATTTCCTCTACAGAAACAGAGCTCACAGCTCTATGGAAAATTTCAATCTGAGTTCATCAAAATCAATTCCTATGTTCTACTTGTAAGCAACGTTCAGATTTAAAATAAAACTCATTATCTATTTCATCATTTCATGGAGGGAAAGAATATTAGGATCAGAAAAGACCAAACCATCCAAACCCACTCCTATCCATTTGTTCAGTTCTTCCCAATAGGGAAGCCATCATCATGTTCCCTAAGTGGGGCATCCTGGATGAAACTAAATGGTGTCTGTAGATCTGATTAAGACGTATTTCCAGAAAGAATTAAAGTAGTGGCTCTTCCCCTCTCAGCTGTCTCAAATAAAGAAAAAAGGCTCCAAATTCTATCCACTGCTCCGCTTTACACTGGTCGCTCAGCGGGGCTGCAATTGAAAAACAAAGCAAACAAAAAACAATTTTGCGATGCTGCACCCAAACTGCACACAGCTGGGGACCTGCCTCTCCTAAGTTTACAAGCAGACTTGACAGAAAGGATACCTTTGTGTGAAATTAACTGGCCATGAAATACATGCTCTAAACCAGATCAGGCAGAAATGTCAGCAATATAGAACCAAGAAGCATGGAGGCGGATCCTAGGCTTTCCCCTGATGCAGCCTCCGACATCCACTGTTCACAGAAACTGATGGTTATGTGTCTATAACATGAATAATTACAGAGTGAGCTGGTTAGGAAGCATTTTGACAAATCAGATGTTTTTATTTATAAAATACGTCAACAAGCTTACTTACCTCAGAGTAAAAACTAATAATCCCTAATTATAGGAAATGGATTTTCTGGCACTTGCAGTCACATGACACCCGTTGTGACGCCATGATGATGCCCTTTGCGGTAATCTGAGGGAGGCACCTTCCACACTTAAGGAATATAATAATGAGTAGGATTTCCCCCAAGAAGCTCTCAGGCTATTCTGCTGGTCAGACCAGAGAAGCTCCTTTTACTGTCATTAGGTCATTAAAAATAAATTCCATTTCTCTACTACATCACCAAAATACTATCGCTTCTCGGCCTTTTGGCTAAGATCAAGTGTAGTACATCACCAAAATACTGAGATGTAATCCGGAGCTTCCCCACCCCCCCCCCTCCTTTCCTTCTCCAGACAGCAGCTAATGGCAGTTGATGTTATATTAGACCATTAGGAAAAGTCTATTGTCTACATCTGCTGAGTCTGAAGGCCAGATTTCATTAAAGGGATAGTAATGTTTTAAAAGATAAAACTGTCTTTCTTTTTCTTTAAAGAGATGTTGTTTCATAATATTTTGCATTCACAAATCCTTTGCATGTCCAAAGCTCTCTGAGACCATCTCTTGGGTCCTCAAAACAACTCTGTCATCAGAGCTAGTCTGAGCTATTTTCCACATCCCTCCAGTGTACCCAAGAGGGTAAATCACTTGCCCAAGGTCACAGAACACAATACTTGGTAAAGTGGGAACTAGGATCTTTGTCTGAATCATGTGAGATAATTGTTTTTCTGCCCCCCTCCCTCCCCCTCACACACATTTTCATTCCTTTTGCCACCCACACTGCAGATTGGGGCTCACTCAGTAAAACCAGCAGGAAAACCTTTGCCATTAGATTTCCAGAAAGTATGGTTTTTAAACAACAACAATAATAATGATAGCAATAAACAGAATGAAACGCGGATTGTGCTTTTTATTTTCTTCCAGGGAATGCATTCATAGTGCTGTTTTTTAACGTATATTTTTACGTTAGGAAAGAAAGGGTCTTTCTTAACAATGGCAGCACATTATTTCTGTAAGTCATTCTCAAGCCCCCCTTCAAGGCCCGGCTTCCCGAAAAAAGAGGAAGGAACGCGTTGGCCCTGCCCAGTCGCAGGAACCTCTCCATCGACGCTTTCACATGAAAACTTGGTGCCGCCACGAGGCCTCTCGTAATTTGCCAAAGAGATTGACGCCAATTATCCTCCAGGATGCAGGATAAGACGGAAAGGAAAATAACTTTCTCCCGCTGCCAGCTAAGTGTGCAGGAAGGAGGTCCCGGGAGAGAGGAGGCCACAGGGTCTCTATGGCGGCGCCTTAACAGACGCCCCCTCTGCCCGCCCTCCCGGCACCGGCACTGCGGCACTGCGGAGCCGCCCGCCCGCCGCCCGCAGCCGGGCCCCGGGGCTCCCAGGCCGCCCCCGCCCGCCTCCCCGGGGGCCTCAGGGCGTCCAGCCCGCATCCAGCCCCGGGAGCCTGTGACGCGCACCCGCGCTCCCGGACGGAGCCTCCGCCGCCGCCCCCCACCCCGTCCGCCCCCCGCGGGGCTGCGTCTGCATCACTCGCTCACGTAGCGGTGACGCGAGCATCCCCGGCTCGGGCCACCCTGGCGTGGGCACCTCCAGCCCGGCGCCCGGTGACTCAGCCCCTCCCCCGCCGTCCCCGGGGAGGGGGGGTGCGGGCGTCTGGGGTCCCCGCGCGCCCACAGAGAGGCGCTGGGTGGTGGCGGTGCGTCCGCGGCGGGTGCATTCCCACCTCCCCGCGCCAAGTTCATCACCGGATTCCGCAGTCCCCGTGGGCGCCCCGCCACACGCTGGGGCTCTGTCCTCCCAGTGCTAGAACCCGGGCCGGGGGGGGGGGGGGGAAGAGCCCTCCCTCCAAGGGAAGGGTCCGTGGATGGGGTGATCCTCTCCAAAGCACAGCTTGGCATCATCTCGGCAATGTGTTTACCGGAGACGGGAGCCTCACGCCAACCGGACTCTGAGCCTCACCTGGGACGCAGTGGGCGTTCAGCAGGGTTTTTCTGAAAATGCAGGCGCAGGGCAGTGGGGTGCAGGCACCTCCAGCCACCGCCCCGCGGGCTTCCCTCTCTCCATCCCTCCCCAGACACCAGACAGGAGCGCCGGGGACTCGCTGGCACCGGTTTTAAATCCCCCGTGTTCTTCGGGGCTCCCGCAGTGCCCACTGCGGCTGCCTCTGCTCTCCCGCCTCACGTCTACGAGGGATCCCCGCCGGAAAGTTGAGCCCGAAAGGCTGGAATGGAGGTCCTGGACCAACAACACCCATCCCGGGACTTAGAGCTGCCAGTTTGGAATCGGCCTCCCCCTGCCCGTCCAACCCGGCAGGCCAGCGCGGATCGTGCGGGTCCCCACCGAAGGAGGGCGCGGCCCCCGTATCGCTGCCGCTCACAGACACACACACACACACACACACCCGCCCCCGGGAATCCGAGATGCAGTGAGCCCACCTCCCTTGACCCACCTCAGGCAACTGGAGGTGGAATCACACCCTCCGTATACACCCCGACTTCCCCCCTCCTGCCCCAGCAGAGGTGCCCCCCGGCTGGGCAGCGCCTGGCGCCGGCAGGCAGGCAGGGCAAAGTTGCGCTTCTACGAGGCTGCAAAAGTTCCCGAGGCTGCAGCCCCTGGCCTCTGAGTCCGGGAGGAACATTCAGCCCCGGCGGGAACTCCCGCCACCGCTGCCGGGCCCCTCACTCACCGCCGCGGCCGCCGGGGACCCCCGCCTCGGGTGCTACCGGCGCTGCAGCCGCCACCGCGCGGGCGCCGCTCCGCTCGCGCTCCGGGGCCGTCTCCGTCTGCCACCCGCTCCTGCGGGCGCCGAGTGGCGGCTCCTCCGGGCGTGTGGGCGGCGAGAGGAGGGGCGGGAAAGTGGCTCCCGGCTCCCACGCTGCGGTCCTCCGGCCCCGCCTCCGCCCGCGCCTCCTCCCGGTGCTGCAGTGCCCGCGGCGGCGCGGCTGGAGTACGAGCAACCGGAACGCGGGGAGGCGGGGGCCGCTCCCGACTCCGTGGGGGGGGGGGGGGGGCGGCTGAAGCGCCCCGGGAGGGCGGGCTTGCGGCGGAGATCAGGCCACTCCCTCCCAAGTGCAGGCACTTTGGAAGAAGTCAGGGCTGAGTTTGTGTTGGAGGGAAGCAAAGGGCACCAGTTCTTTCTGCCTGTGACTATGCGCACCCGGGGGCGGCGCGCCGAGTCCGGTCCCAACAGAGGAGGAGTTTTCAGAGCTGAGCCGCTGCTGCCAGGGGAGAGGCTGCCAGGGGAGAGGTTGCCTCCTATTCCTGGGCCAGGGACTGACCTGTTGACTTGACTTCCAGGAAGCCACCAGGCAGGGCTAAACTGACCATTCCCCCACTCCGGCACTCCAGAAGGGAAGCTTAGGGCGCAGTTGGAGCGAACAGGAGGAAATTTTGCTGGGGTCTGGGTCTCCTTAATGCCTGGTAGGGCCAGACAGCCAGGCTCACAGACAGACACTGGAAAAGGTCCCCCCTTTTCGGGGGGGGGGGGGGGGAAGGAGGAAGAGGCAGACTACCGAATATTTAATTTTTAGAAACACGGTCGTTTTGTGTTCTCAGAAACATTTCGCCCCTTGGCATGCTGGAGACCCCAATTCGAGATCCCCCATTTCAAAGCAGCGTGACCTGGCTGCTCAGGATTATCCTACCTCCTGGAGGCCACACCAAGTCCGGCTCAGCGAAGGGCCTTGACATAGAAGGGCGTGGCCCTCTGCGGACCGCCCCTTCCTTTCTTCCACCTCTCCGCCCCCTCTCTCTGGCGGCCGAGACCCGTCCTGAAGCTGGGCTTTCTCAAGTCCCAACCCTGCCAGCTCTGGCTCATGTGGAATCCCTACAGGGTGGGAAGCGGTCACAAGGGCAGGTGCTTACTCCAGTAATGGGTAACCCCAAGTGAGACAAAGCACAGAGCCCTTGCGGACTGCAGTGGTATGGAACTCACACACCCTCTATGCACCAATGTGTTCTATTTGTGTAAATAGGCCTGGATGCTTGAGTGGCAGGATGCGTGGACAGTAATATAAATACTACACGTCCATGTGCTGGGAAAGGGACGGTTCAGGCACCTCCTACTATGCATGATACAAACTGGTGAAGAAAAGAAAACAGGTAGTCCATGGCCTGTTGCTTTCCCTTCTCTCTAGTCCGGGCACTCCAGAGCTGTCCGTTATGATTCTCATTTCCCATTGTGCCCATACTCGCTACCCTGGCCTTCGAAAGCCTGTCAGGGTCTTGTTTTGGTTAAAAGCTTTGCAGATTGCAGCCATGAATGTGCTATAAGGTGGTCAACAGAAATTGTAATTATGGAACATGCTCATTTGCATTTCATGGGTTCTTCTGATAAATGAATTAGTTAAATTAAATACTTGGGCTGAAATTGTGTTGTAAGCAGGAGAAGGAAAATATACCCATGGAGTGCCTATAATTCTAACTTTGGAAATAAATTTGTGAAATTTAAAAACTCATAAATTTTATCCAGATTGCCTACATCTATAATAATATAATAAAAGCATAATATGCTAACTAGATGGGACGAAGCCATGTCCTGGTGGCAGAGGAAAGCTGGTGCGGCAGCCAAGAGGAAGGAAGGCCTACTCTTGCACGAATTTCATGCATCAGGCCTCTAGTACTAATGGTGCATATATAAATGTTGAGCTCTCAACTGCAAAATATGCTGGTAATTCATTGAGTTCTCAAGTGGATACTCTCTGAGAACCTCCCCCCAATGTCATAGAAAAATTGAAACCATGAAACAAACCTTAAAAATGATCTTTCCCTGTGCTGTCCATGGGAGACATTTAAAGAAGTACAGGCAGTCCTCAGGTTACGTTGGACTCAATGTATGTAGTTTTGTAGTTACATTGCCATCTCTCATTTATTTTTTAAAAAAGTTCCACCATTTCAATGTATGTACATAAGTGCTTTATGATTTTTATTATTTACTGTATTTACCATATGTAAAGGTCAGGAATTGTTATCTTTCTTTTAATTTTTTTTTTACTGTTTCACTTCATTTCTGCTTCATGTGAGTGACGTAGGTGCTTAGGTAGGTGGGTTCCGACTTATGGCGAAAATCGAGTTACGTCATGCCATAGGAACGGATCTCCGATGTAACCCGATGATCTACTGTATATAAATCTTTCTAGCTGCTGAGTTTTCATGTCTTGATGCACTTGAAGATAACAGTTCTTAGGGGGAAATCCCTGATTGTGAAGTGTCCGATTTTAAACCAGGTTGTATTGGAGGAGGGAATTTTAATGTTGTGTCTTTGGAGTAAGGAAGTATTTTCTCAGGATGATGGTATGTATAGATGCCTTGGCCTTCCCTCCAGAGCTGCTCTCATTCTAGGGTCCCTCCTGGGGCACCCCTTGACCCTAGGCCCACTGGGTCTAGCACTCAGAATAGTCTTCTTTATACCTTCTTTATAAGACTTCTTCTCTCCTAAAAATACTTGTCTTGTGGAAACTGGTGGAGGGTAAAGAGGACACCACAAAATCCCAGTGGTCTAAAGTCACCGCCCTCCGGCACATCAGGAGTTTTATTCTTCTGCGCAGTGTCTGTTCGTGATAGCAAGCAGTTAAACACGTAAGGAGCATCAAAGATCTGTCTTCACATCTGCAAAGTGGTTTTAATAAAAACAACTACACTAAGAATCACACAGATGCTATGGTGGTTAAATTTGATAACATACAAGAAGCATGTCCTGGACATAGAATGTTACTCTCCCATCCCCTTTCAGTAGCTACAGTGAAGTTTTCCAAAGGCTGTGCCAGGGAGAGCTGTATGATGCTCCTCCAAGCTCCAACACACAGCTTCCAGAACAGGGGTCTAGAGAGAGCCTCATACATTTGGACCAAGGCCATGCCTCTTCCACTGTCCTCACTTCCGTCATCAGGAGTCAATTGCAAGGCATAGATATCCACCCAATATTCACAGCTCGAGTCTAACAATGTTAATCTCATTAAGCCCTTAACGCTCATAAGGTTCAGTCTCTATTCTGTCCCTTTCTTTCTTTTATTTTTAAAAACTAAATCTTTATTGTTGAAAGTATTCTATATGGGCATAAGAATGCTTTTAGCTGCAAGTTAGAAAACTCAGACTTAAAGTGGCTTTAAAAATAAAATCCATTATCACATAAGGTCCCCCATCCCCCCATTGACACCTTCTAGCCTGCCCCATCCCTCACCACCCTATTGTCTGTGTCCACGGGTAATGCATATATGCATACAAGTTTTTTGGTTGATCTCTTCCCACCAACTCACCCACCCCTGCCTTCCCACTGAGATTCCACAGACTGTTCTATGCTTCTATGTCTCTGAGATCTATTTTGTTCATCAGTTTATTGTGTTCATTAGATTCCACATAGGTATGAAATCATGTGATACTACAGGACATTGTGTGATAATGGATTTTATTTTTTAAAAGCCACTTTAAGACCAAGTTTTTTAACTTGCAGCTAAAAGCATTCTTATGTCTACACTCCCCCCAACTCTGAAAGAGTATCTGGCACATATATTCTCAGCACATTCTACTGATTTAAATTGTGTGTTGAGTTCATTTCTGTTGAGAAAACAGGAAAGATGTCTCCATCTGTTGGTCCGAGAGCATAGAAAGTGTTTGGAAAATATTTGCTTAAAGCCAAAATGACTTCAGGATTTTAGCAACTAAAAGGGAAACTTTAGAAGTCCAGATGGAAGGCTGAAATAAAATAAAAATAATTAGCTCTGTGAAAACTCAAGATTCTGGGAGAATCTTCCTGCTCAAACTGCCAGGAAAGCAGCTGCCCCAGGCATGGTGAGGGAAAGAGTTCCTGAAGAGGACCCTTGCCTCCTTTGGTGGCTCAGAGGGGCAGGCAGCCTGTCACACAGGAGCCCATGCTAGGGTGGAGATGGGGGAGGAAGTGGAAGAATAGCCACAAGACACATTCCTTAGGAAAAAGAGGCATATTAATGTCCGGAAAACTTTCTGCTAAGAAGGAGAGAGATGAATTAAAGGAAACACAGATATTCATCGATCCACCCTAGGTATACCCCCTGGGCCCATAACGATCCCCTTCTATATAGTTTGTTCCCATGTGTAGTTGCAGGTCTAGAGTAAAGCAGGTTTGTCACCAAGAAAATGTCATCTCAGAGGCAGAAAAGGCTGGGGCCACCTCACACAGCATTGTAGAGTCCCCAGCCTACAATGGAGATGCCAGAAAGTGCTGCTGTGGGTAGGCAACTCGCCTGCTCCAAATCTCCCAATGGTGGTGCCTCCCAATGAAGTGGGAACTCCCCAGCTTGTCTGTAGGTCTCATGTCAATGCCCACCAGAGAGACTTCAGCACAGAAGCAGCAATGAATGATGAGGGGTTAGGATGACCTGGCCAGTCTCTGACCTCAGCCACCCCAGGGCTTGCACAATGGCCCTTGGGGTGGCTGAGGAACGGAGTTCTTATCCCATGGAGAGGCAATGCTGAGGAGTGTTCTACACAGGTTCTCAGAGGCTTTCCGGTGGGATCTCGGTTGCCCATAGGGGTAAGCAGCTCATTAATCAACATTTCACTGACTTTTCCCTTTCCTTGTCTCACTTCCCTGCACCTTCTCTTCCCCGCAACCTCCACCCCCACACCATGCTTTACAGGATCATTTATCCAGTAAACCACATGTACTCAAACTCTAAAGTCAAACTGAGACCTGCTGTGCACAGCCATGTGTAATCTGGCACCATCTTCCTTTCCAGCCCCCCTCCTCCCCCCTCCACTATTGTCAATTTGAATGTTATGCCTCAGATAGTTTGGACTAATAGCCATTCCTTAAAGAGCCCCAATTTCTCTGCCTCTGCGTAAAGCTGCAACACCCATTTACTACCTGGAATAGCAAATGCCACCTTCTCTACTATACTTTTGCCAACCATTTTAGGCAAAAGTGTTTTTCCCCGTCCCATACTCTGATAGC